ACGTTTAGCTGGACTGATTATGAGCATTTCTCTTTTTTTTCTGTTTCTTTTTTGCTCATCTTTACGACAATATAGTCTTTTTCTACGCATGTCCACACTTTCCCCACCCACAAAACCAGCATTTATTCAGGGGAACCCACCGCTTACTTCAGTTTGCAGACCACCACATTAAATATCTGTGCGTTCGTACGCGTGTGTGTGTGGTCTGCGCTGCTCAATAACCTGCTGAGGGACAAACGTCTGTCAACGACACGTAAGCTGTAGCTCAGCTCTGTTTACTTAGTCTGCCATCACCCCGGCACAGCCCGGGCTGCCAGCTGCTGCGGGAAGACTGATAAAGATGCTCCTTCTGTCAATAAGGACAAAAAAAGTTCCCTTTTTTTTGTTGCTATTTTCAACCTCCTTGGGAAAAAAAAACATCAAAATGTGATTTCTGTTTAATGGCTGATAGAATTATATTTCTCAGGTTTCAACTTGGTTTCTAATTGATCTATTTCTACTTAAAAAAACATTTATAAAATGTTTTTACAAGCCAGAGAACAGAGCCAAACGGATGAGTGTCATGTCAGAGTAGAATAAATGTCAATATCCCTGGAAGTATTCAAAACTCTAATGTCAAATAGGAGACGAGATTCTAAGCTGATTCTGGGCTGGACACGTTTCCCATTCACACGTTTAAATCTCTCTTTGTCTATGTGAAGGAGCAGAACTAAATAGTCATGAAAAAAGATAAGATGTTCTCAATTTTGAGGTATTTGTTGCAAAGAGTGAAAAAAACGTGTTAACCCTTTAAAGCCTGATCCAAGAATAAAACAAAACAGAAAATGACTTATTTTTGGTTTGAATTCCTTATTTGGCCTTTTAACAAAATATGTAAAAAGAAAAAACAGAAATGCATTTTTAATATTAATAATTTATTACTATGCGATAAGTCAAGATGATTTTTTGTGTAGTCTTCTGCCCCCTGTTATCAGATGTATCTGATTGTGTACAATAGGATTTTGAGTTTTTTCCATTAAATTATGCAAAAGGTGTCAGACGCAAAGCATTTCAGAAACAGTATGTATCAAATATGATACATTTGGCATTATAGGGTTAAATGTTTTCTTTACCCGGGTATGTGCCTAGAAAAACATGCTGCAGATGCAGATCTGGAATAGAGATTCAACATACCATGTGGCGTAATTTGGCGTAATAAAAGCCGATCATTTAAAGATAGTTTGAACACTGGTTACTAATCCTATACAGAATCTACATCTAAACTCATTTACTGGGGCTGTAGTGACCAATCATGTCTTTTGGATGATGATAATCCTGAACAAATGATGTCAACTAATAGCCTAAGCCTCACACTGCCATATGATGGAAGCTCCCGGAAATCTTTAATTAAATAGTGGATAAGGTCTTGTTGGTGATTCAAGGAGCTTTTTTTTTATTACATTTGTTCATTTATGTGCTCATTCACATGCAGATTGATGCATCAGAGGAAGGCTGGGGGCTCAGGGACTCACCTGGGGTCTCAGAAAGCTGGGGATCAAACCAGCTTTCCAAAGGTTTAAGGTTTATTTCAAACAAAAAAAAGTAACCTGAAACAAGAATGAAGCTATACATCAACAATGCACGCAGCGGCCGCTGTGATCTGTTGGAGAAAAGACGAAAGAGACACAGAGGCAATTGTTCCGTGGAGAGATTGGTCTGTGATTTGGCTGCTTTTGAAAAACAATTTCTGCTCCCACATGTCAAAGGTGAGAAAGAGCATCAAGGCTGCTAAACAACAAAGGTGCAAAAGTCAGTGATTGTAGGAGAGGGTATTGGTAACCTGAGAAAAAAAAAAAAAAAAAAACGTTTCCACATAAAATGATCCGGTGCTGCATCCAAAACCTTCTCTCGGTTTTGTCACGATAAGATCAGAGTTTTAGGGAGACGTGTGCTGCCATTAAAGTGACATCCTCTCCTCGGAGGTCAATAGTAATCTCAGTGGGACAAAGCCAGACTTTATCCTGCACAACTTATGCACTGTGGTTTCTTCAACTCTGTGCGTTTGTGTTATTTGATAAGATCATGGCCAGAGCTATTGTGAATGTCTGAGGGGCAGCACCACAGAAGAAGAAGTCTCATCGGACTAAATTTGCTATTGCACACAAACGACCATTTTTGTATCGAAATTTCTTTTTATCAGACTCCTATTTCAAATCGTTTTAAAAGAAATTGATATATTAGTGTTCAATTTATGTTAAAAGCTGTAGGTTTGTCATTTATTGTTAAGTCCACATGCTAGTTTTCAAGATTTCTTTGAGGATTAAAGTAAAATAATTAGTTATTCTAGTCTGTAGAGTGGTTCACTTTTGCACAAACATGCATTTCTGATTAAAAAGAGGCCTATTTGTCATATTTTTCTTTGCAGCCTCATTGTGTCGGCAAAATGTAAATTGTGCCATAACTAAATTAGTAATTCAGAAGCGACACGTGTATCACATGAACACATCCCCTTCTTCCCCGGTTTGTTCTCTTGAAGGAAATATCTAATCAAGTGTTATTACATTAGAGGGATGTGTCAATGGCAAAGTAAAACCTAAAAAAATATCTTGTTTGATTTGATTCACGGGCGCAGATGCAGGAGTGAGCCTCCGACTTAAGTTTTTATTGTGGGGTTTATTTTCCACACCCCTCTAAGAAACTCTAGTTATTATGTCGAAAGGTGTCGCTGGGAAATATCGGGATATGGTCCACTAGTCCTCATAAATATGTATATCTCGATCAGAATGTAATCCTCAAAGAAGTGGAAGATGGCAGACTCCTGCAATGCATGGGTCATGCTAAGATTACTGTTTTCAAAAACTCAATCTAGACTGCGTGTGGCTCAACAACTGTTGCTCTGGCTTTAGTGGGGACAGAAACAGAGGTTTACAGCACAACCAAGCAAATAGAGGGTAGGAATTATGTCTGTCAGTCAGCAGAGGGTCTCATAATGCAAAGCAGCATTAAAATATAGCATAAAATCTGTACTACAACACTCATTTTTACCACAATTCTTCTTCTCTACGTATGTCAGAGGCTTGTTAATCATGTTCCGCGTAAAATTGTGGAGATATAAAAGTTCGCAGAAGCATGTAGTTTTGTATCAAGTTCCAAATAGCTTCATGAAAATAAATACTGAATTGTTATGATTAATTTCTGCCAGTGTTTTATTTTTCAGGCCAATCAGAATGGATATTTTCATCAAGCACTGGCTGTAATTGCAAAGACAAGACACAGACCGAAAAAACATTTGGGAACATAAAATAACAAGAGCCTAAAAAAATCCATCGGTAAATTAAAATAGTCTGAATCAAGAGTCTTTATTCATAAGACATATTATTTGATTCAACATCTGAATGAAGCAGCTCTGGGGCATGTTGGGAAAAGCTTCTATTCATGTGCTTTTCTTCATTTGCTGGCTTGTATTTAATCTTAGCACAGAGTCAGAACCTAGCTGACAAATTTGATCAAATACGTTGAAAAGACAGGTGCACAGTATTTATGATTTATGAAGTCAAGCTTCCACATTTGTTTTTATAGATATGATGGCTGCATATATTTGCAGAGGTCTATTTAGTTTCATACTTGGAGCTTATGACATGTGCATACAGATCCCCTTTGAGGCTATAGTCTATCTTTGCTACTGAATGTGGAATAGATGGGGGGTATAACCCCCGTTTGAGGCATGCAACTTTCTCCTCGGAGGACATTTGGTATGTCTCAGCCTCATCGGAGCTATGTGGCAGCTGAAGGCCGGTTAACTGGAGAAGAAGATGGACGCGAATTATAAATACAAGGCTGGGATGGGGAACGGGAGTTTTAAAATGAGTTTTTCTGGCTCTTTGCCAGTGCGACATGGGGCGTAGCGAGTCATCTGACATTCGATCTTTCTGCCCTCTCAGACATTCCTCAGAGGTGTACAGTAAATTCAAGACTTTGGAATGTTTATATCGCCTGCAAGCTTTATTTGTTTTCTCTTTATGGGCAGACGAGAGACCCCATTTTATATTCTCGGGGTTGTACTGTACTTGAAATGTAATTTGAAACATACTTCGGTGAACAGTTACGTTACAGGTATTTTCTGTCAAAGAAAATGCTGATTTCTGCACATAAAGTCAAAGTTGATGAAGACATTTATGTTTTTCTACATAGACCCCAACAAAATATAACCACAAAATTATATCTCCTTTGATTAACGCAAATCTACTTTTACCACGCAAAAATAAAATAAAATAAAAAATTAAACTCGAGCTCGGGAACACAAAACCTCCCAGTGGGATGGTACTCCCTAAAATTGTGTCAGTGTAGAAATACTCATAGAAGTTTTAGCTGGATGTGTCACGATTATAAAAATCAAACTGATGAGTGGTTGTCATGAACCCACTCATCCCAAACCAGAATGTGTTTCAGTCCTAATGGCATCACTTTGAAAGACAAAGATTTTTTTTCTACTGCACTGGAACGATTTTCAAAAGTATGCCACGCAAATATTTGAAAAGATTGTGGAGGTCTGTGCAATCACACTTTTAACCTTCAGACGGAGCATGCAGGACTTTGGAGTATTTTAGTTTTGTAACCAGCTTAATACGACGAAAATTAATTTAATCTATGACTGAGAATGACCAAATGATCCAAATTTTTCTTTATAAAATGACTCTTTGTTGCTGGTATGTTGATGTCTAGCAACTCAGCAGACAATCTATCGCAGCTTTTCTCGATATTGAATTATTGTTTTATTATTAATTATTATTATTGTCTAAACATACCCCTCTGTGTCAGCTCCGATTTAATCAGAATCAGAAATACTTTAATAATCCCAGAGGGAAATTAATTTTGTTACAACTCCAGATATGATGTATATATATTTTTTTTTTAATTATTTTTATATATATATATATATATATATATATATATATATAATTTTTATTTTATTTTATTTTTTATATATATATATACTTTTATGTTTATATATATATGAAAAGCTAATCTGTTTATTTAAAAAAAAATCTATTTTTCTTCAGACAGGACTGTTCAAGTTATCTGATGAGGAGTTCTTCATCCAGCCCCTGGAGAAGCCCCCAGAAGAGACCTGGGAGCCACAGGCCCACGCCATCTACAAACGCCATGCACCCCCCCGCCCCCAGACTCCTCCCATACAGCCCCTCTCAGGGAAACAGGCTCTCAATGCTACCTGTGGAAACACAAGTAAATCAGAAACAATTCCTTATTACACCAACTAACTTCTCCACCTAGGCCAGGCCATGTTTACTGAAAGCTCTTGTGAGAATTAGTGGGATAAGTAGCCCAGAGGGTTTTCAGCTGATTACTTTTCAGACACTGAGCTATGAATGATGAGAAATGAAAACGATGATTAAAATTTCTCATTTCTTTCATGAGTATGTCTCGGGTGAATAACCTGCGTTGGCCAGAGGAATCAAATTGTAGCTGTTCATAAATCAACTGCTTAGTATTCTGCGGTGGCTCAGCTGACCATGAAAGACAATCAAGGATCTTGGAAATGTGGAGAGAATGTGCTGCTCTGAGGTACTCAATTCACTATTGGGGAAACTACACAACCTTTGCCTTGTTTAACACTTCAGAACCAACGGTAGCTGAAAATGAAATCAGAGCAGCGATCCATGTGTGAGATATGAATTATTTGGATGTGATTAGTGACACAAATTTTCTTCATTGTGAATAACTACATTCATGACACTCACCGCTTAGAAACCAGTGAATAAATTATTCATTTTTTAGTTAATAGTCAAACTATCAAATTTATATAAATAAAATAATAGTATATAATATAAATAATATAAAATATAATAATATAAAATATCAAATATATATATTTTTAAATATGAAAATTAATATTTGGAAAAGTTGATAATATATATATATTTTTAAATGCAGTAAAATTAAAGCTGTTTTTTTTCTTTGAATCACTATTAACATTATTAAAAATCCAGTTCTTTCACTTGCTGACTTCTTTGTGTCAAAAGATTTGATGCATTCACACATTCAAAACAGGAAAAATGTGAGGAAGACAGAAAATTTTAAAGATAAGAATACCGTCTTGTATTTAAACTTTTCAACATTTAACTGTCTGTTCTTATGTTTTACTTTACTAGTTACTAGTGACTACATTAAAAGTCACTTTGTTCTCTGTCAAACATTGTGAGAGGAAAAAAAACCCATTTAATATGAGGTACAAGAAAAGCACTGTGTGACTCCTAAAACTACACAAAGAGCATCATGTCCAAATGACTGATAGTGTCTTAAATGTGAGTTGTCAGCTAGAGTAAAATTACATAATACAAGTCTTAATTTAATGTAAGTCATTTTACAGCCGGCTAACAATAACACGGGGCTTCACACTGATGGGAGCATCAGAATCAGAAATACTTTAAGTCTGTTTGTGTGGATGACGAGCACCTAAGAGAAAAACATGGATTTTTCTCGTGTTTTTTTTTTCTCAGGTTATTTCAGCAAAACAATGCTAGATCTCATTCTGCTGACACTGTGTGAGAGCCTGGCTGCTCTTCTGATGAAAGTGTATGCGGCATCTTAAGGAGGAGAACCAGACAATGATTACATCTTAAGAAAAGGAAGACTGGAGCCAGATTTCTTTTGAAAAGCAATTTATTTCTAACCTTAGTCTCTAGAGGATTAGACAGTGTGATTCAAAGGCAGAGTAATCCAGCACGTCTCCCTGTCAGATCCTTTTGATTGGGATAGGCATCAGGATTTGAATTCATTTAGGCGTTTAGGTTCAAAATGAAGTTAGTTTCATTTTAATATTTCATTTCAGAACATGAACTTTCCAAGAATGCTGTTCGAATATGAACCTGGATTTTCCATTCAAAGTCGAGCCAAGAAAGTCGATTGTTTTAGCGATTTGTTGGTTATTCGTAGGTTGGAAAACAGCAAGAGAATATTGCATTTAAATTGCATTTTAATGCAAAAGTTTACAACAGGAATTGGTACTCAAGCCCTTTATTTCGTCTGTCTTAGAATTTCTGACCTCATTTGATCCCACAGGTGCTCTTTAACTCTAGTTCAGAGCCAATCTAGTCCTTTGAGTCCTCTTGTGCCAAATGTTCCCTCAATAGCAAGTGCACATGTATTAAATATTGTAAGATTTTGAAAAGCCGCCCCAGATAGATGCTCCCAAATTCATGAATCAACAATACCCTACAGAGCCACGGTTCAATTTCGATTGCAGGTTCTCCTTCACGCTCTTTGTCAACCATTTGAACTTCGATTGGCTCGTCCACAAATACACACATCTGTGCTCATACAAGTTTAATCATAGTGGTCCTATTTTACAAGCTCATGAATGCTCTCTATGCTCTCAACCCCCTCTGAGCTAACACTCATCTGTGCTGTTTGGGGTTGGGCTGTGCACTGAATTTGATCTGATCATTTTAATCGATTGCTTCGCCTCCCTCTCTCTCTATTTTAGCGATTTTGCTCATTTCAATACACTGCTGGTGGACATCCCGTGGATATTTCATATCAAGATTTTCTATAGCATGTCCAACTGCAGAGGAAGCGATGTTGAACTTTATCTGACTCCAAACAAAGTTTTTATTGCCTCTCTTTGCCAGTTTTCAAAGTTTGCTGCCCAACCAACCAGCTCCAAAACCGGTTACTGTATGTTAAATATGCCCATGGGTGCCCATTAATGCAAGTTCACGCTTCACGCTTTATTTTGTGTAATTACTTTGTGTGTTTGATTATTGATTAAAACCACTGAATGAGAAAGCACTTAATGTTACTCTTTAGAATTTTAAACGCATCATGAATTATTCCATTAGATCATTCAGATTAAAGATCAAACGCTGATTGTTTTGGAGCGTCTGGTCCTCGGGGAAACTTATTCCATGCTTTTGTCATAGTCATTGGTCATTAAACCACTATACGTGATGAAACCAGTCACATCTAATGGAGTTCGTAGCAGACGTGGAACCAGTGGGAGAGGATTAAAGACGCATATTTATGGGTTCTCATCTCCAGATTCCCAGCACAGTTTGGAGGAGCTGGAGATGCAACGGGAGCGGTGGGAACACCAGCGACAGGGAAGGAGGAGAAGAATCCGCCAACGCTCCGTCAGCAAAGAGAAATGGGTGGAAACGCTGGTGGTGGCCGACCCTAAGATGGTGGACTATCACGGCAGCAAAGCCGTGGAAAGCTACGTTCTCGCTGTCATGAACATTGTGAGTAAAGAACCAAATGACACTCTAGAAAATTACCCAACATGCCGTTGACATAAATAGAAGGTTAAAGCTTTCAAACATGATCTATTCATCTCCGAGTAAATACATTACACTCTTTGAACCCAAACTAACCCGTAACAATTTCTGTATCATGGTAGGAAGCGTAATCGCGCGTTTAGGTTGATGGTACAGTTTCAGATGAATACTGGGACCACTGAACCCCAGTACGGCCCACAGCATCATAGTACCTCCGCATGCTTTCTAGCATTTCATGGTTCAACCTGTTGTAATTTCTTCTTTAGGGAAATCGTGTGCATGCCCCCAGCTGTCAGCCTTGTGGGGGAAAAAAATAGATTAAACTGATGAGATAAACTTCTGCTACCTATCTTTAGGGATACTTTTTGGTCACTTGAAAATTCACTTATTTCCATTGCACACTTGTAGGAAGCCTTTAGTGCCCAATTGACTGGTCACACTTCCGCAAACCACTTAATTTGACCCTTATATATTTAATTGATCTGCCTATTAGACCTTCTTGTTTTGATGATGGGCTATTACTCCGTTACTAAGCCACCCGTTTTTCAGCCCAAGTTTTTCAGATTCTAAAATTTCAACTTTTAATACTCGTTCTCATGAAATGTGCCGTGCTGTAATGAGTTTATTAAGAAAATGAAAAAAAGCTCAAATTTATCTTTTTCTGCTAATTATACAGTATTTTGTCTGGATGGTTATCTTTGTCAGACCTCAGCTAGCATTTAAAAGGAAAGTAATGGACAATAATTACAATTAAACTCAATAATGAATCGTGCAAACCAGTCTGATGGAAATATTATTACTAAATTAGTACACAAATTGGTAAGCCTTAATGAGTTTATTGCATCACAGCTGTGAGCAGAATAAAATTCTTACCTTTCTACAGCCTCTGTATACAGCACATTATTGAACATTTTATTTTAAAATGTAAATTTTTCTTTTATTGTAAACATTATTATCAAAGTTATTGCAGAGACATTGTATTGAACATATATATTGTTGGTCATTTTGGATGTGTAACGTAGAGTAAATATTTTAGCAGAGCAACTGGTTCACTGTTTTGGGGTTTGACACACAGTCCTTAAGGTTCATTTGTCAAACGCTTTTGATTTTCATTTGACACGGGTAAATTGGGGTAGTCTATTAGTGGAGATGTATCACTATACAGACAATGTAAGCGCAGAGAAATGGAGGAGCAAATGTATGTTAAAGGGTGACAAATGCCACCGCATGAGGTTAATTTACGTCTTTTTATTGAGGACACTTTGCATAACCTTTATGATGATGCATTTTTGGACATTTTCTTTGGTCTGCAGCACACAAACTTGGCTCCTCCTCTGCTGGCAACTATGTACAGGGTTGTTTATTGGACTCACAACATGTACAGAGCTGCAGATTAAAGCAGCAAAATAACACATTGATTCACTCAAGTTAATGTTTAACATAGTTATTCTCTCTGTCATTCTTTCTTTCTTTATTACTTCACTTTCTTTACTTTCTTTTACTTTTGCTTAACTGTTGAGAAATCCATATGTTCACCCCACCTTAGCTCGACAGGCAGCACAGCTTTTGTGTATTCTGTGTTCATTCCACTTTTATATTTCTTTTTTTAACATTTTCTTTTACTTTATATATAGACTTAATGTTAAAATGTGAATTATTTGTTAGCTCTAATGAGCTCTAAGTCCAACAGTTTCATAGTATTGAACATAGTTTCTTATATATGACACTGAAAGTTTAAACTTTATAATGATAATATTTGCGGGGCAATATCTGCAAAAGTAACAAGCCTTACTAATACTTTATAATAATATGTTGTCTACAGAGGCTGTGGAAAGGTAAGAATTTTATTCTGCTCAAAGCTGTGATGCAATAAACTCATTAAGGCTCACCAATTTGTATACTAATTTAGTAATAAGAATATTTCCATCAGACTGGTTTGCACGATTCATTAGGGAGTTTAATTGTAATTATTGTCCATTACTTTCCTTTTATATGTTGATTAGAGTCCTGAATATTGTGGACAGGGGGTGATTTAAGTTTTAAAGGACTGAAAAAATATGGAAATACATTTAAATTAGAAAAAATATTCAGCTCTTTGGTGTCTTTGTAAGACAAAAAACGCTCACCTCATAATGCAACTAATGAATTTGTAATTTCCTCATATCATTGTATTTAGTTTTTCCTTCAGAATGACTTTGTTGCCTTCGAGATATAAGATGGTGCATTGACAGTTCGATTGACGGCTTTTGCAAACGGCATTCTGTATTTAGAGTAGCTGTGACTGATATGTAGGCCGGAGGGATGTGTCACTTTGTTTAATCTGGCGTGTTAAATAATGTCAGCTGGATTCTGCTGCCTGTTCACACGCAGCGACCTAAATCTAAACCTGAAACCAAAGCGCCCCCCTACATGCTGTAACTAATCCTAGTTTACCCCCCTGTGTGACATGAATATTCTAATGACATCCAGTCAAATGTAGCGGCTTTTTTTACCCATCAGGCGTTTGCCATTTTCATTGGAAACGGGTTGCAACAATTCCCATTCAACTGTTCAATAAATCTAAATTTAAAAGGCCCCAAACAATCCTTCCAGATGTTCAAATACATTCCCAGATGCTTTGGATGACACTTTGGAAGTTTGTCATGCTCATGTAACAAAGCAAATGCGTTAAACTCCTCTCATTTATTTAAAACTCATGTATTACTTTTTCAGACAAACACATTTTTTTATGACCGTGTTTGTGACTTGTCATTTATTAATGAGGAGCAGGCAAGTGGGCTTTTTAAAAAAAAGTAGCATCCAGCAACAACTGCAGAGCTATCAGAGGACAAAATATCAAGAAAAAGGAGACAGTCTAACCGACTGAGCAGATAAAACCCAGCGGAAGCAGCTATTATTCCCCACTTCCTCTCGTGGTTCTGTTTTGAGGTCTTTATAGCTTTGAACTCAAAAGCCTCAAACAATTCTGTTTTTGCAGGGATTCACGGGAAACCCTTTCTTACCCACGTTCAAACAATAATGTCATCATCTTCCTCAGCCAACAGATGCTTCATTGTCTCATTGTTGAAGCCTTGCTTGAAGTTATCTGCCTCAGAATTGGTTGGTATTTTTGTGTTTGGCTGCTGTGCGCGCACTGGAATATTTGACACACTTTTAAAGTCGGTCGTAGAAGAAATAAATTGGACTCCTTCGCCTCAAAATATTTTCGAGGTTCCTCTCACTTGGTGCCATAATAGTTAGTTATTATGTTGTCTGACGGATATTCAGGACTAATCTGTTTCAGTAGCTCGTACAGTTATGGACAGTGGCATCAAAGCTGTATTGTTAGCAAAGGGAAATTAAATCAATGAGCTCAAAATAGCTACAGCCGTGTGTGGATTCACAAGAAAAAAAACATTGGAACAATAGAAAAAGAACAAGTGACTATGGATTAAAAAGCACATCTACTGCTACTGATAAGATTGGTTTCAGTTGGTTATCCACACGTGCACCAAAATATCTGGTAATTACCGTGGGCTTTGAGTCATTTTAGATCATCCGAGTCATTTATGTGTGTCAGAAGTCCGGGGGTGGAGAAGTCCCAGCGTGCACAGAGGGTTCAGTGTGTGGAAATCCAGAGAAATCCGACTATATCACGAGTTGCTCTGTGCTCAAATGCTCATTGACAAATGTGGTTATTTGTTTAATTAAATCCGCCCGTCTCAGCATGGCCTTCGTCTCTGCTGGTTTCTGGAATTGATTGCTCGCTTTTAAAGTCACTGTAATGCATTTATAACTTTTATTCTTAAAGTGTTACAGCTTGCCTAATGCAGACAAACAAAATGTGAAGAAATCTGTGATTTCTTATACTGGAAGAAAGCCGAAGCTTCATAGATTATGACTTTTTTAGATGCTGAAATAGAAATGCATGAACTGTGTCATAAGTTTTAAATCTGATGTTGAAATATCCAGTATTTTTTCATCTGTGAATGGTTTCTTTATATACTTTAAAGATGAAATGATGAAAGCTGTCTCCACATCGACAGGTTCAGCAATTTATATTTGAAAACTAAACTACATCTCTATTGTCATTGCTAATGTTCACTTATCATGGACACGGGTACACTTTAAAGGAAATTGTTTGCATGACATAAACCTTAATCAGTGGAAATATCAGGCAGAGTGGGTGTAAGCTGGTGAACAAAAATCTTTTTATGGCATATTGCTTCATATGATATTTGTAAAGACAAGGATAAATGTGTAGCATCTCATTCATATTCTTCTCAAAGCATTTAGCACTTTCACTGTGTGTCAGAGAGGTAAATACTTTGAAGAAGAGAGGATAAAAAGAGACAAATCCCTTTTTTTTTTTACTTTTGTGCATCTGACCTGTTGCTGCACAGCAAAAATGGAGTCAGCCGTCCTATTTCATGGCAGCAGTGATTTAAAAAGCATGCAATTTCTTTTGTGGCAGATGGATGACAAAACAAAATGTGTTCTCAAACGTTTCTGTAAAAACACATTAGATGCAACCTGTAATAACTGAGGTGGATTCTTCGTTTCTCTGTGCAGGAGACACCGTTGATGCAGTGTGAAGTCTTAGACCTTTGTTTTCTTTCTCAACTCCCGTGTGATCCATCTCTGTCCCGCTACAGCTAACCCCACTTTACTGCAGCCGTTTATAAAGCGTCTGTCTGAAATGTCGAATTTAACATCCATTTTAGACGTGAAGTCACTTTCAAAGTTGTACACGTAGCAGTTTCCACTCTTTATTTACCCAGCCATTTGTTCCAAATAAACCAGCCTATTTTGAAGTGAAAACTTGATTTTTATTATGCCGGTTTTAGATCATTTATATGAGAAATAGTTAAACACTCAAGGCAAGATTGACTCAAAAAAGAACAGATTCAACTTTCTGTGAGACTGATATATGGGCATAAATATATATATATATTTCAATTATATTATAGAGCATAAAAGCCTACAATAAAGGGCATGCGTGCTTTGCCAACTAGGACTTTTATAAAAGTATTGTTGCACCATGTCAAACCTCTCAGGTTTTTCTCTTTTTATATCCTCCAGAAAGAAGGCTCCTCTGAATAAGTCAGATCATTTGTCTTTTGAGGCATGAATAAAACGGTAGGCTGATTTAATACACCCGCACGGAGGACAAGATGTCTCTGAAAGGGGAAAATATTCCATTTATTGTATCTGTCAATTGGTCTTGATGTAAAATGCAGCGGCCAATTTATTTAAATCAGATGCCAAAGCACTAAATTTCGAGATACGTCCATCTTTCACTGAGATGGCTCTTGCTGTTACCGTTTTTTCTGCTGAATTTAATTAAGAAGGATTATACCTCTATGTATACTTTTTTGATAAGTTCCTTTGGGACTCATGGCAGCTTCCTGCTGACCTTGGTGTCTGTTATTTCTGCTGTATAGCTTATATTTTATATAAGTTGTTTCATTTCTCTCGGGCAGGGAGCTCCTGGACAGCGGGGAGCCCATCAGCGGGGAGCCTGTTTGTGTGGAGTTTTCTTGTTCCTCATCAAGTGTCTATTGATTTTTTTTCCCCCGTGCTCTCTCTCTCGCACTCCAAAGATGTGCAATTGGCAAATTGGATGAACGTGGGCTTTATGTAGGATCACTCTGAAAAGGATGGACGGACATTGTGACTGATGACATGGTTTTTACATAATTTTTCTTGTTTATTTTTTTCTTCCAGGTGGCGGGTCTGTTCAGGGATGCCACCATTGGGAACGCCATCAACATTGTTGTTGTTCGACTCATCCTGCTCGAGCAGGACGAGGTGAAACCTGTCGTGTGTTTGTGTCTGGTTCATTACAGATAGGTAGAATTAAAGGTTGCATTGTGGCACACTAATTGGAGTAATAGGTCAGTTATTTGTAACAAGCGAAAAATAAATTAATTCTTAACTGTTCATTGCCCCCAGACTGATCATTTTCCAACCAAAATTTCCAGAATCAAGCACCAAGATAACCATGAGGCTCATGTTTCCTCCACTTTGAATTGTCCCGTGCTCGAAATGTGCCGTTCAAAGGAATCTTCCATTGCCTGGTCTTCCTCCGTTAAACCTTTCCGTCCCAACGTTAGTTTGAAACCACAGCTTCCTGACTCACTGAACCTGTTGGAGCTCGGCTTTCTCTTTAGCGTCTGATAGCTTCAGAGCAGAATAATCCAAGGACAAATGTGCAAAGTAAAGGCCTGTCTGTCAAGTAGTTTTTTCTGACTGTGTTTATGCCTTCTTAATGTCACAAGATTAGCTCTGACTGACGGTTCTTTTATTAATTATGTTTTGTCTTTGAAGCCTGTATGCATTTGCTTGATCATGACATTTACTGTTATTGTTGGTCATGTAATTTTTGCTCTCACATTTTTTACAGCAGTCAACATTTTGAGCAAACTGAAATGTTTTTTCAAAGCATGATAAAACAGACTATACATTTCCACAAGCAGCAATTTAGACAACAATGACTAACACAAGGTTTTTTTTACAAGGTGGAACAGGCAAAATAGCAATATTGAATCTTTTTATATAATTGGATATAGAAGTGCGTACCATAATCTTTTTTAATAATAATCGTCTTTTTGTTATCTGTGTAAAACAGGATGATCTAAAGATTACACACCATGCAGACCAGAGCTTGAGCAGCTTCTGCAAATGGCAGAAGAAGCTCAACATGAAGGGGGACGAACACCCTCTGCATCACGACGTAGCCGTCCTGCTCACCAGGTACATCGTGGCCAGTTTCTGAGTCCCGTTCTGCTCATTTAAAGATGTTCTCACAAAAGCATCAAAGTCACCTCTTCTCAAGCACAATTTGTCTTGTTTTGTTGATTTGGCTTTGGTTGAATTGAGTCCGCGGCACGGTGGTTAGCACCATCCCCTCACAGCAAGAGGGTTCTGGGTTGGAGTCCCTGGGGGAACCATGACCAGAGGGTTCTGGGTTGGAGTCCCGGGGGAACCAGGACCAGAGGGTTCTGGGTTGGAGTCCCGGGGGAACCAGGACCAGAGGGTTCTGGGTTGGAGTCCCCAGGGGAACCAGGACCAGAGGGTTCTGGGTTGGAGTCCCAGGGGGAACCAGGACCAGAGGGTTCTGGGTTGGAGTCCCCGGGGGAAC